GGCAACCTGCTTTTTTTTGTTCTCCATTTGCTTGGTAAATCTCCATCATCCCTTTATTTTGAGGCTATGTATGGTCTTCAAGGGGGCGATGTGAGATGGTCTGCTGAATACGGAGACTGATGGGTCTTCGACTCTTTTATCCCCAGTGTTGCCAAGTCTGTGTCTTTAATTGAGGCTTTAGTCGATTTACATTTAGGTTAATATTTGTTACTGTGTTGAACTTGATCCTGCCCATTATGTATTTAACTGGTTTATTTGCTCGTTAGTTGATGCAGCCTTGCTCCTGGCCCCTAAATGGTCTTCACATTTTGGCATGTTTCTTTGCAATGGCTGCGTACGGGTTGTTCCTTTCATGTTTAGTGGCTTCCTTCAGGGTCTCTTGTAAGGCAGGCCTAGTGGTGACAAAATCTCTAAGCATTTGCTTATCTGTAAAGGATTTATATTTCTCCTTCACTATTGAAACTTAGTTTGGCTGGATATTGAAATTCTGGGTTTAAAATTCTTTTTTTAAGAATGTTTGATATTGGCCCCACTCTCTTCTGGCTTGGAGAGTTTCTGCCGAGAGATCTGCTGTTAGTCTGATGGGCTTCCCCTTTGTGGGGACCCGATCTTCTCTCTCTGGCTGCCTTAAGATTTTTTCCTTCATTTCAACTTTGGTGAATTGGGCAATTGTGTGTCTTGGAGGTTGCTCTTCTCGAAGGAGTATCTTTGTGGCGTTCTCTGTATTTCCTGGATTTGAATGTTGGCCTGCCCTACTAGGTTGGGAAGTTCTCCTGGATGATGTATCCTGAAGAGTGTTTTCCAAAACTTGGTTCCATTTTCCCCTCACTTTCAGGGCAACGCCCAATCAGTGTTAGATTTGGTCTTTTACATAATCCATACTTCTTGCAGGCTTTGTTCATTTCTTTTTCTTCTTTTTTCTTTGGTTCTTTCTCGCTTCATTTCGTTCATTTGAATCCTCAATCACTGATACTCTTTCTTCCAGTTGATCGAGTCGGTTACTGGAAGCTTGTGCTTTGTCACATATTTTCTCGTGTCATGGTTTTCCATCTCTTTCATTTTGTATATGACCCTTCTCTGCATTAATTACTCTAGCTCAATTCTTCCACTTTTTTTTCAAGATTTTTAGTTTCCTTTTGCGCTGGGTACGTAATTCCTCCTTTAGCGCTGAGAAGTTTGATGGACTGAAGCCTTCTTCCTCTCATCTCGTCAAAGTCCATTCTCTGTTAAGCTTTGATCCGTTGCTGGCGATGAGCTGCGCTCCTTTGCCAGGGGATGCGCTTTATTTTTTGAATTTCCAGGCTTTTCTGCCCTGCTTTCTCCCATCTTTGTGGTTTTATCTGGCCGCTGTCTTGATGATGATGGTGACGTACTGATGGGGTTTTGGTGTAGGTGTCCTTCCTGTTTGATAGTTTTCCTTCAACAGTCGGACCTCAGCTGTAGGTCTGTTGAGGATTACTTGAGGTCCACTCCAGACCCTGTTTTCCTGGTGTTCAGCAGCAGAGGCTGCAGAAGATAGATATTGCTGAACAGCGAGTGTACCTGTCTGATTCTTGCTTTGGATGCTTCTCTCAGGGTGTACTCCCACCTGTGAAGTGTGGGGGTGTCAGACTGCCCCCTAGTGCGGGGATGTCCCAGTTAGGCTACTCCAGGGGTCAGGACCCACTTGAGCAGGTAGTCTGTCCCTTCTCAGATCTCAACTTCCGTGTTGGGAGATCCACTGCTCTCTTCAAAGCGTCAGACAGAGTCATTTGCGTCTGCAGAGGTTCTGCTGCTTTTGGCTTTGTTGTTGTTTACTGTGCCCTGTCCCCAAAGTGGAGTCTACAGAGACAGGCAGGTTTCCTTGAGCTGCTGTGAGCTCCACCAGTTCAGGCTTCCCAGCGGCTTTTGTTACCTACTTAAGCCTCAAGCAATGGCGGGCGCCCCTCCCCCCAGCCTCGCTGCTGCCTTGCTGCGATATCACAGACTGCTGTGCTAGCAATGAGGGAGGCTCCGGGGCGTGGGACCCTCCCGGCCAGGTGTGGGATATAATCTCTGGTGGCCTGTTTGCTTAAAGCGCGAGTATTGGGGTGGGAGTTACCGATTTTCCAGGTTGTGTGTCTCAGTTCCCTGGCTAGGAAAGGGATTCCCTTTCCTTTGCGTTTCCCAGGTGAGCGATGCCTCGCCCTGCTTCAGCTCTCGCTGGTCGGGCTGCAGCAGCTGACCAGCACCGATTGTCTGGCACTCCCTAGTGAGATGAACCCAGTACCTCAGTTGAAAATGCAGAAATCACCGGTCTTCTGTGTCGCTCGCGCTGGGAGTTTGGAGACTGGCGCTGTTCCTATTCTGCCATCTTGCTCCGCTCTTCTAGGTTTTTATGGTTTTAGGTCTAAGATTTAAGTCTCTAATCCATCTTGAATTAATTTTCATATAAAGAGTAAGGAAAGGATCCATTTTCAGCTTTCTACTTATGGCTAGCCAATTTTCCCAGCACCATTTATTAAGTAGGGAATCTTTTCCCCATTTCTTGTTTTTGTCAGGTTTGTCAAAGATCAGATGGGCTGTAGATGTGTGGTATTATTTCTGAGGGCTTTGTTCTGTTCAATTGGTCTATATCTCTGTTTTGGTACCAGTGCCATGCTGTTTTGGTTACTGTAGCCTTGTAGTATAATTTGAAGTCAGGTAGCATGATGCCTCCAGACAAAGTTGGTTTTGAACTCAAGCAGTCCTCATGTATTGGCCTCCCAAAATGCTGGGATTACAGGCATGAGCCACTATGCCTGGCCTTTTATTTTATGTAGATCACTGTCCCTTACTGAGTATTACATAACTGTTATTATAAATCTTGTATAGGAGATTACATGTGTTGGCCAGGCATGATGGCTCATGCCTGTAATCCCAGCACTTTTGGAGGCCAAAGTGGGCAGATCACCTGAGGTCAGGAATTCGAGACCAACCTGGCCAACATGATAAAACCCCATCTCTATGCAAAATACAAAAAAAAAAAAGAAAAAAAATTAACCAGGTATAGTGGCACATGCCTGTAGTCCCAGCTACTGGGGAGGCTAAGGCAGAAGAACTGCTTGAACTTGGAAGGCAGAAGTTGCAGTAAGCTGAGATCATCCCACTGCACTCCAGCCTGGGCAAATGAGTGAGAATCCATCTTAAAAAAAATAAATAAATAAAATAAAAATAATTCGTACAGTATTCCAAAAAACAACAGTATGCTTTGCTTTTCATTACCATGAATCTATAAGTTATTAAGCTTTCAGTACTGCAAATATTGTAACATATTAACAGTTTGACTTGAAAATATGTACAATTTCTACTAAAAATAGAAAATAAAAGCCTCGTCTTTAGAAGCTTCCAAGGACATTATAACAGAAGTTATATTTTCCACAATTTGGGTTTAATTAATCTTATATAGTGCAATTGATTTAAATAAAATTTTAATTTTTGAACACTATTGGGTTTACAGAAACATTGTAAAAATAGTATAATGTTCCTGGTAAGTACCCAAACTCTGCTTTCTCTATTACTAACATTTTATATTAGTGTGGTGCATTCATTACAATTAAGGCATCAATATTGTTATATTATTATTATCTAAAGACCATACTTGTTCAAAATTCCTCAGTTTTTATTTAGTGTCCATTTTCTGTTCTAGTATACATCCTAGAATCACATATTACATGTAGTCATGGTGAGAGAGACTCCAAGTCAGTCAGTGTTGAAACAGGGAATATTAAAAAAGAACCAACATAGATTACAAAAGGAAGACTCGAAGCTTCCGGAATGATTTTCTTTCTATCTAAAATCATTTTCTATCTTTCATCCTATCAGCACTCATAAATTACACACACTCATAACCTGCCACAAATTACTGGCAGATTGTGAAAGTGGAGCAGGGCATGTCACATAGTGAAAGCAGGAACAAGTGAGTGAGAGGGGAGATACTACACACTTTTAAACAACCAGATCTTGTTAGAGCTCACCTGCTATCATGAGGAGTATCACGGAGATAGTACTAAACCATTCATGAGAAATCCACCCTCGTAATCCAGTCACCTCCCTCCAGACACCACCTACAACACTGGAGATTACAGTTCAACATGAGATTTGGGTGGGGACACATGTCCAAAACATATCACAGGGGTTTCCCTATGTTGCTTAGGCTGGTCTCAAACTCCTGGCCTCAAGTGATCTTCCTGCCTCAACCTTCCAAAGTGCCAGAATTACAGGCATCAGCCACCATGACCAGACAGAATTTTATTTCTCAAGGGGCTTTTCATCTCACTTGAAATTTTAGTTTAGGGATCTCCCAACTTACAAAGGGTTTCTGTTCCAAAATTTTGTTTCTAAGTCAGGTAGGCTCACTTTCCTAAAGAAAATGAGAAGAAGCCAGTCTCGAAGCAAGTAATAAAAGCCTGTTGCCTCACGGGTGAACTATGATGTTGCTAAATCCATCAGAAGTAATTTTACTTTTGCTCTTTGTTGAATGGGCTACTGTGAGCTTGTGAGGGCACCTAACCACCATTTAGAATTCTATAAATAATTCTATAATTTATAGAATTATTTCTTTGAAGCAGGTCATGCTGACATGTGTGGTCAAAAGGGAATTAGTGATGAGAACGGGGCTTTCTCTGCCTCTCTCCCTTTTGACTGCCAAGGTCCAGGGAAGTTCACATCTACAGTGGTCAGGGGCTGGCCAAGTAGATCCCCACCAGTTACTGGATAATGCCTGTGAACTACTGGCTTGCATCTGTTCTGAAAAACTAACTTCTGGTTTGCTTGTTTATTCACCAGTAGTTCACATAATTTTCTTATGACAATCTGGCACCTAACATAGATCCCAAAAGAGTTTAGGAGGATTTACCCTTTAGGCAAAAAATATTGGCAGTGTTTATAATCCCCTCAAAAAGAGAGAGGGAGAAAAAAAGAAAGAAGAAATTTTTTAAAGGCAGAGATAACATCATGTAACTAAACTAAATAACTTTCTATATCTGACTGAAAATAAATTTTTGTTTTTTCCTTATTTTGGCTCATTTGGTAAGCTAACAAACTGGAAGAACTAGTTTTAACCAAACAACTCTAAAAGATTTCAGAATTTGAAAACTTAAGAATTATGAATAGATTTGATTCATTTAGCCCCAAAATTATCAAAAAAGTATATAAAATATTAATAGTCAATTTTCCACCAAAACCATTGAGCTATAGAATTCCAGATATCAAAAATTCTAAGGAAATGTTGTGTTTTAGAATCAAATCATGTACTAGGCTGAAATTAAACACCATTACTGAGTATTGTTATTAGGATAAACATCTTTCCATACTTTGGTGAAATTGGAAATACTCTTGCAGAAGTGTTTTCATCTCTCACCCAGAAAAAATAAATAATGACTTCTTCCTCCTTCCACTTAAGGTAAAATCCTACCTTTACGTATATTGCATCATCCCTTGTTTTGTGATTATTTGCTTACAGATTTTCTCTCAGTGCTCTCTAAGCAAAGAGAACAGGGTACTGGTCAAGATTGTGGATCTAGGGGATCACTGATCTAGGTCCTATTCCAAATTTGATTCCTCACCTGCTAAGCTTGCAAGTGCAATTCATTTAAATTCTCTGAAGGTTAAATCTTTCATCTAAATAGGGATAATAATAAACACCTATGTCATAGAGTTGTTTGAGATTAAATGAGATAATACATGTAAAATTATGGCCTGGAATACAGCAAGATTGTTGTGGTTGTTGATGATGATGATGATGATGATGATGATGATGATGATGATGATGATGATGTTTTTCTAGCCTCAGTGCACAACTGCTTGAACGTATTAGATAATCAATACCTGTTTCTTGAACTGAGATGAATTTCCCCATGTTGTCTGCCTAGTGAAACCCTACATCTTCTTCTAGAGGAGATGACATTTGAGCAAGATCTTAAAGAAAATCAGATGCCTTCACCTGACCACTGCTTGGTGATCCCATGGCACTTTGTACATCTCTTCATTAGCTCTCATCTCACCAGCCCATAATTATTGTATGTGCTGCCTTCTGAAGCTTGCAGCTGACTACATCAGGTAGAATAAAATCATCCTTTCATAAAACAGTGACCTCCTTTTTTATTTGCATTTCCAAAGTCAAGCATATGATAGGTAGACAATGAATGCTTGCTCCTGGGCTGTGCTAAAGGTATCTATAACCACTAAGCCCAAAGAGTGTCATGTGCTTTCAAAAGGAAGGAGCCAGTGTTTATATCACTTTTTCTCAACCTTCAAGGCTCCATTCAAACCCCACCTCCAGCATGAGGCACTATCCAGTCCAATCCACAGTCATCGTTCCCTTTCTGAGTCCTTCCAGGAAATCAGACATAGTTATTTGAGGTGTGTGTTAGTGATCTTTCCTCAGAGGCCCTGTGAGCTCTTTTGCATGGTACAAAGGCATGTAATAGGCAGGAAACTAGTATTTAATTGCTCGGCTTAGTTATAGTTTTCAGTGTGTACTTCTCCAGAATTATCCAATTAACCCTAACTTGAGAAGACAGGCAAATGGGATTTGCACACACTGGAGTCAATTCCTGATACGCCCGGGGTGTGAATGAACAGAGGTCTTCTTGCTGGCTTCTGTAACAGTATCTCTCTTTGGCCAGCACCCAATTTTTGGAACCATTATAAGCACATAAAAACCGCATTTTACACAAACCAAAAAATAGTTTCCAACCATGTTTCTGTGGCATTGTTAACAGTAAATTCTACTTTGAGTTATATTTCTGCTAATTAAATGAAATGAGAAGTGGGCTCTAGTCCCCCAGAAAGAGACTGGAGGGAACCACAATCTTTCCTGTGATTAGATACACCACTAAGGAAATCTGACCCTGGGCAACTGAAAGCTGCCTATTCTCATTAAGAAGAGCTACAGACTGACACTTTTCAAAGACTAGTAACTGGACACTTACTTCTTTCACAGATTATCTTCTTTTCCCTTTTTTATACTAGGAATTCTCAGAGATTATAATAATCATCAACATAACAAGCCTCCAAAATCACATTTTTTAACTTTTTGAAATGCCCTCCCACCTAACTACCCCACATTTGACACTTGCAGCCATCCTCTGGAGAGGTAGACAAGATCGACCGTCTCACTTTACAGAAGTGCAAAGAGTAGCTGGCCTAATGCCACAGCCAATGAACAGATGAAGGAGGCCTACAACCACCCAGTCTCCCCTGCTTCTCCTCTCTCCTCCCTTCTGACCCCCTTACGTCACCACTGACCAATGGATCACTGTGTGGCCCTTCAGCATCTTCCTGTGCTGTGTCAGGCAAGAGAACTTCTGGAAAGAGAACATCTCATGTTTATTAAGGAGACTGGGTGTCCTTGTAGAAAGTCCTGGCATGCACAACCCGTCTTAACCGATGTGTTTCACCATACTGAAGGCAAGTTGCCATCTAGCATAGTTGAAGGGGGGCCAGTTGTGGTGATCTTTGTTCTTGCTGAAATATGGAAAGAAAACAAGGAAATGAGCTCATTTTCAAAGAAAATGAACATTATTTCATGTGAAAGAAAGATGAGTAAAGTGACAGGAAGGAAAAAAAGCTTAGGGTTGGTGTGAGATACACAGACAAGGTGTTAGCTCCGCATACAGTGCTGCTGGCCCAAGTTAACTCCTGGCTTTTCCCTATATATGTGGTGTGGAAAAGCTATTTATAAAATGCGTTTAAATATTTAGAACCAAATAAATCAACATTATTGGGAAACATTGACTCGGACCAGAACTCATTTCCTTGCCGTAGTCCAATGTGAATAACAAAATGAAGAATATCAGGATGATTCGAGACCAGGAATACTACAGATGTCTAACACTTCCATCTGGAATCCCCAAAGAGGCCTGCTTTTAGCCTCCTTACTGGTTGGTGACCTGGCATGACAGAAATGACAGAAATCTCAGAAGACTGGCCTCATGAATAATCTTTAGTATCAATCTAACAAAGCAAGCCTTCTAGAAATTACCTGACTCTGCAGTTCCCTCTGCTGCTTCAGGTGAAAATGTTCAGGTCCGTCTGCCACTGTAGTGAAGGACTGCTTTGGGTAGTGTCTGTGGATAAACTTTTTAAAGGACATAGTTAAAATATTGTGCTACAAACCAACTCTTGAACACCAATTGTTTTGTCCTTCCTCTCTGTGACAGTGAAAGAGGGCTGTGCTCTTGGCAAAGGCCACTGATTATCTGTCACTCAGTTATCCCCACTCTCTCCCACAACTTTAACTTCAGCTTCTCTGTTCTAGGAGATTCTTCTCACAGGCTCAAGGCTCTCCTACCCCGCATCATTCCTCCCTCTACCCCACACACCCAGCATGTGTCCAGCTAGTCTATCCTTCAGCCAAACTTCCTTAAAAAGAGGCCTTACCTCACTGTCCCTACCCATCTCCTCTCTGACTCACTCCTTAACTCCATGACAGGGTTCTGGTTTCTTTCCCTTGCCTGTTGTGACTTCCTGTGGACACAGTCAAAAACCATTGCATAGTCCTGTTGTATGACATCCCCTCCATCTTGAAATGTCCTCTCCCTCAGTTCCTATATGTCACCACACACGCTTGCCTTGGCTTCTCCCTCTAGTTGTTTCTTCCCTGTCTTCTGTGGGCTCCTTTTTGTCTGCTCACTCCTTCTTCAGTGTCCTCAAATGATCGGTGTCCTCAAATGGGCTTCCTTCCCTTCTCAGCTGACACCATCACCAGGGAATTACAGTTTCTCAGCAGTGTTGGGGCCTCTCTATCTCTATGCTGGTCATGCACATGTGTGAGCTGCAGACCCAGTGGAATTTCCATTTGTGCATCCCATGCCCAGCCCACCCTCCACTAGTCTCAAATGCAGCTGTTCAGCCCTACCCCAGTCCTCAGACAAGTTCCTCTCCTTGGATCCTCTTTTTCCTTCGTGAGTGTCCAGTTGCCCAAGTCAAAAACCTGGGAGTGATATAAATTCCCCACACATCCAGTCAGTCACTCATCAACTCTATTGATTATGTCTGCTAAATATATCTCAATTATATTTACTTACACATATGCATGTATCTTCTTCTTCACTACATTTGTAATTGTGGGCTGCACTTACCTTTCAGGGAACAACAACACTGGCCCCTCTTGCCCTTCTAGTCAGAAGTGCCAAAATGATGAGAGCTAGCCATGACAAACCCACAGCCAACATTACACTGAATGTGCAAAACTGGAAGGGCATCCAAATAGAGGAAGGAAGAGAGGAATAGATAGGAAATCAAACTGTCTCTGTTTACAGATGACATGATTCCATGTCCAGAAAACCCCACAGTCTTGGCCCCAAAGCTGCTTCTGCTGATAAACTGTAGCAAAATCTTAGCATACAAAATCAATGTGTGAAAATTACTAGAAGTCCTATACATCAAGTCAAGAAGAGAGTCAAATGAAGAACACAATCCCATTCATAATTGCTACACACAGAAAAACTAAAATACCTAGGAATACAGCTAACCAGGGAGGTGAAAGATCTCTAGGAGATCTCTAGGAGAATTACAAAACACTGCTCAAAGAAATCAGAGAAGACATAAACAAATGGAAAAACATTTCATTCTCACGGATAGGAAAAATTAATGTCATTAAAATGGCTATACTGCCCAAAGTAATTTACAGATGCAAGCTATCCCTATTAAACTACCAATTGCATTCCTCACAGAACTAGAGCAAACTATTTCAAAATTCATGCGGAACCAAAAAAAGAGCTCTAATAGCCAAGCAATCCTCAGCAAAAACAACGAAGCTGGAGGCATCACGTTACCCAACTTCAAACTACACTACAGGGCTACAGTAACCAAAACAGCATGATACTGGTACAAAAACAGCTCATCATTTTGAGTTATGTTTCTTCAATACTCAGATTTTTTGGAGTTTTTAATATGGAGAGGCATTGAATTTTATTGAAAGCCTTTTCTAGATCTACCAAGTAAATGGAAAACAAAAAAAGGCAGGGGTTGCAATACTAGTCTCTGATAAAACAGACTTTAAACCATCAAAGATCATAGACAAAGAAGGCCATTACATAATGGTAAAGGGATCAATTCATCAGGAAGAGCTAACTATCCTAAATATATATGCACCCAATACAGGAGCACCCAGATTCATAAAGCAAGTCCTTAGAGACTTACAAAGAGACTTAGACTCCCATACAATAATAATGGGAGACTTTAACATCCCACTGTCAACATTAGACAGATCAATGAGACAAAAAGTTAACAAGGATATCCAGGAATTGAACTCAACTCTGCACCAAGCGGACCTAATAGACATCTACAGAACTCTTCACTCCAAATCAACACAATATACATTCTTCTCAACACCACATCGCACTTATTCAAAAATTAACCACATAGTTGGAAGTAAAGCACTCCTCAGCAAATGTAAAAGAACAGAACATCGATGCAAAAATCCTCAATAAAATACTGGCAAACCGAATCCAGCAGCACATCAAAAAGTGTAACCACCATGATCAAGTGGGCTTCATCCCTGGGATGCAAGGCTGGTTCAACATACACAAATCAATAAACGTAATCCAGCATATAAACAGAATCAAAGACAAAAACCACATGATTATCTCAATAAATCATAAGAGCTATTTATGACAACGCCACAGCACCTATCATACTGATGGCAAAAACAAGGAAGCATTCTCCTTTTGGAAAAACTGGAATAAGGATAGGATCCTCTTCCCACTCCTATTCAAGCATAGTGGTGGAAGTTCTGGCTAGGGGCAATCACAGGGCAAAGGAGAAAGGAAATCAGGTAACTCCGTTAGGAAAAGAAGAAGTCAAATTGTCCCTGTTTGCAGATGACATGACTTTATATTTAGAAACCCATTCGTCTCAGCCCAAAATCTCCTTGAGAGCTGATAAAGCAACTTCAGCAAAGTCCAGGATATGCAAAATCATGTACAAAAATCAGCAAGCATTCTACACGATCCAGTAACCAAGACACCACAGAGAGCCAAATCATCGATCGAACCTTGCCCATTTCAGCAATAGCTTCACAAAGATAATAAAATACCTAGGAATCCAACTTTACAAGGATGTAACAGGACCTCTTTCAAAGGAGAACTACAAACCACTGCTCAGGAAATAAAAAGGACAGCAAAAACAAATGGAAGAACCATACCATGCTCATGGATGAAGAATCAATACTTGCGGAAAATGGCCCATACGCCCCGAAGGTAAAATTTATAGATTCAACTGCCCATTCCCCATTAAGCTAACCAATACTTTCTTCACAGAATTGGAAAACAACACTTTAAAGTTCATATGGAACCAAAAAGAGACCACATTGCCAAGACAATCCTAAGCCAAAAGCAACCAAGAGCCTGGAGGCATCACACTACCGCTGACTTCAAACTATACTTACAAGGTACAGCTAACCAAAACAGCATGGCTACTGGCATCAAAACAGCAAATATAGACCGAATGGGACCACGAGCAGGAGCCCTCAGAAGAATAATACCACCACATCTACAGCCATCTGATCTTTGGCAAAACCCTGAGAGAAACAAGAAATGGGAAAGGATTCCCTATTATAACATGCGTCTGGGAAAATTGGTTAGCCCATAAGTAGAAGCTGAAACGGATCCTTTTCTTACTCCTTACTACACAAACCTTATTCAAGATGGATTAGAGACTTAAATGTTAGACCTAACAACCCATAAAAACCTTAAGACGAAAACCTAGGTAATAAATATCATGTCAGGACATAGGCCATGGCAGAGTACTGTCATGCTAAACACCAAAAGCAACGGCAACAAAAAACCAATTGACAAAATGGGATCTAATTAACTAAAGAGCTCTGCACAGCAAACAGACACTACCATCAGAGCGTGAACAGCGCAACCTACAGAATGGAGAAAATTTTGAAGTCTCTCATCTGACAAGGCTAATATCCAGAACCTTACACAGAATTCAAAAACAAATTTACAAGAAAAAAAAACAACACCCATCAAAAGCAAGTGGGCAAAGCTTATGAACAGACATTTCTCAAAACAAGAAGACATTTACTGCAGCCAACAGACACATGAAAAAATACTCATCAATCACTGGCCACATCAGGAAATGCAAATCAAATCACAAATGAGGATACCATACTCAACACCAGTTAGAATGGCTGATCATTAAAAAGTCCACGGGAAACAACAGATGCTTGGA